TAAATTTTTTTTGGGGTGTCACGCCCAAATTTGCACCTGAATGCCCGATGCCGGCAAAATAGTTATACAGGGTGTTCACTTAGTAGACGATATCTCCTTCCAGGGTGATGCAAGAAAAAAAAATTAAATTACAAAGTTGTTTGATACTCTAAGATCCATAAGTAGTTTGAAATATTTTTGAATATACACAGGGTGTTCTGTAAATGAGGTATGTGACAGACCTTTGTTATTTTAAATGGAACACCTTACATTTTAGAACATTAATGGATTGTTATAACAATCCTATATACTTTTTCTTAGGAATTACCTATACTAATGGGTCAATTATGTGCACATCTGTGAGCAAATCTATAAAAACTCGACCCTTTTTGAAATATTTGAAACTTTTTCAAAAAATCGGAGTTTGCACTAACCCAAAAAGTGGGACACTCGACTGACAGGTCTTGTAATTTTGCATAAATCAGTCTTTTCTCTACAATGGATTTTTTGTCAAATATGACAATTCCTGTCATTGCCTTAGGTATAGCTGGGTGAACCCGTTTAACAATAAGAAAAAACGGGTGTCCAACTTCAGGGGCGTCGCGTCGGGGGGGGGGTACTGGGGGTAATTACCCCCCCAGGATCGAAATATCAAGAGAAAAATCACGATGCCAAAAAGAAAATACATAATATATTGAAGAAAATATATTTTTGTTTTGTTTTATTTTTCTCACAAATAAAATAATTGTTCTGGAAACGTGAATGACCTTGAAATTTGCAAAAAATTTCGCCTACGGCGCGTTTTTGGCGGCGCCCCCTCAGCCCCCCGTACCATTTACCCCTCCCAGACTACTAGTCACGCGTCGCCACTGTCCCACTTTCTGTGCTCACGACTGATAATTTATTGCATAATATTGATCATGAATTTATTTACTGTATTGAAATCAAGCCAATAATTTGATTGAAATTTTGAACACATCACAAGTTACGAACGCCTAGGCTGTGACGTCATACCGGCTTCGGAAGTACAGTTTTAACACGTGTAAGAATTTTTCAAAACAAATGTCCACGATCTCATTAGAGCGAATGGTAACCACTCAAAGTATAGGGCACGCTTCACTGAGGACTGAACGAACGGGAGGCTAGCATTTCGGAGTTTAGCCGGTGTGACGTTACAAGTTTTCGCATAATTTATCTTCATAAAAAACATTCAGATTTCATGTATTCGAATGCAGGAAAATTTCTACATTCAAGTACTTTTTGAAATATTTGAAACTTTTTCAAAAAATCGCAGTTTGCATGTGTCAATGCATGTATCAACAAAAACCAACACATTTCATTCATTTGATATCCTTAAGCTAAATTTTTTGCAGGCTGTTAGTAGTGTATACCCACTTACATTTACTTCATGGTCCTATGAAAATCTGATAACATTCTATAGGGTGTTCGCAATACTGTAACTGTACACAAAACCAGATATTTCAAACAACCATAGCTTTTTTTTCAAATGAAATACCTTTTATTTCACTGTATAGTAGTAGGTACAGTGACTCTATTACCCACAGTGGCGACAATTGCTGTCTCATTTTTGATTGGTTCTAAAATCCCATATATTTATATTGAAAACGCCGCCATCTTGTTCCCAACCTCTTGTTACTTTTAAATGTGAATATATGGGATTTAGGTGAACATCTATCATAAATCATGGAAAACACGTTTTTGATGGACCTGATAATGGTCATCAAATACGTCCAATTTCAATTTTTTATGATAGATGTTCATTTAAATCCTATATATTAATATTTAAAAGTAACAAGAGGTTGGGAACAAGATTGCGGCGGGACCTCTATTGTCGCCACTGTATGTAAAGGTTTATTTAGCCACTGTAGTAGTAGGTACGTCGATACTGGTGAGCCTATAAATTTATACAATGCCTTCTATGCTTTACTTTATAGAACTTGTCTTTTGTTGAAATTTTATTCTTAAAATCTTTGTCTAGGGGGGGTAATTACCCCCTCTACCCCCCCTTTAAACCGCCCTTGATGTTGACATCTGTCATTGACATTACTTTACGCACTAGTGTGTGAAGTGAATTACTTTACGCACTAGTGCGTGAAGTGAAATTTTACATCTTCTGAAAAGTGCGTAAAGTGAGTACTTTACGCACGGTAGTAGTAGAAAAACATTTTTTTTTACTTACTGTAACTCCTCTGAACTGGACTTTGGAAGAGGAAGAATGGACATGACAGTGGGCAGCGAGCGTGCGCTGTAGCAATTACTGTATTCCTTTTATACATCGAGTGTTACACCGAACTAGGGATGTCAATTTTTATTAAAACACCGGTTTTTTCATTAACCGGTTAATTTAGTAACAGTTTTAACTGCCCGGTTATAACTGATATAAAACACCGGTTATTCCGATTAACTGGGTTGTTCGGTTATTTTTCCGAATTTTATCAGAATAATTGCATGATTTATACTATAATGTAAAAGTTAAACAACAACATTATCTTTATTGTAAAAAAAAATCGGGAACTGTTACATGTTGAGAAAAATCATCAAAAAATACTTACACTTTTCTTCTCTTCTGTCATTTTAGACATGTACCCATTGAGAAAACAACCCGCTGCTGAACGAATCAACCAAAACTGAAATGAAATATTACAGGTAGGCACTACTATCGGTTAAAGACTGTGGAAATAGGTAGGTATTCGACTGTTGTCGCTTATTCAATATTTTACAATTTATTTAATAAGAGAAGAGAAAAGTCTACATGTTTCCCTACACTGAACGTGTCGCTCTAAAGCTCCTCGGAGTCACTCCAAAACACACAATTAAGAATAATTCAGATATTAGAGTTATGTATGCGCTGTTGTAGGATTATAGACATCTTTTTTTAAATTTTACCTGAGTTTTTATTTTAAAGCTTGTAATTTGTATTAATTCTTTAGAAGACTTACGCCCCCCTCAATGTTGCTTCACGCCCCCCAGGGGGGCGCGCCCCCCAGTTTGGGAACCGCTGCCGGGAGGAACATCTCAACAAAACATAATCTGGAACGAGTGTTTGTTAAAGGTGCACCTATTGCATTGCCTCCAGGTTCACCAGACCTGACCGAATGCGACTCTTTCTTATGATGTCATATGAAAGTGAGCGACACTCCCAGTTAAAATAGAGGAATAGTTAGTGGGAAGGATTGTTGCAGCAGCTGCTGAAATTCGCGAAGCGCCAGGAATTTTTCAACTTGTGTTGTCACGCATGCATTGAGGCGAGTGGTCGTAATTCTGAGCATCTTCTGCTGTGAATCATTGTTTTTGATGAATACTGCAAGTATTCCTGGAATTTCTGTATTATCTATTTAAGGCCGTTTTACAGCTTGCAATTCTATCTGCAACATGCAAGAAACTTGAACGAGGGCATGCGCAGAAGTGAGTCAGCTGATTGGTTTCTGCAAGATTCTTGAAACTTGAATGACATTGCATGCAATCGGTTTGGTGCCATTTTTCTTAAAGGTTTTCGTGCAAGCTTGCGAATTTTAAGCAATTATGATGCTTAAAGTTGCTGCTATTGCTTTCTTCTTTTTATATCGACTTATAATCACTTTTTTTATTTTTGGAAAATGCAAACATCAACAACAGAACATTAAAAACAAAAAAGTATGGTTAAGGTTAGAAAAGGAAACAAGTCAAATTTCAAGGTGTAAAACGATGCGCAAGAAATCTTGAATGCAATTTTTTTGCATGCAACACATTGCATTCAAGTTTTCTTGCAAGCTGTAAAACGGCCTTTAACACAATTTCTGCTTCAAACACGTTTCTTCGTGCGCAACGTAGCTACCACAGCGCGGACTGTAATGTGCTAACATCACCTAACCAAAGCGCATGCGCCTATGGGTTTATAAGTAAAAAACGTTTATTTTGGCGAGATCTTTCATCCCTTAATTTTTGGCACAATAGTTTCGGAACACCCCGTATATGAGAGCATTAAGATCTTCAACAAGTTGCAAGATGAAATAAAGGGTGTGGAGGACTGGACGATTTAGCAAAACTTTAAAGAGATTTCTAGAAACCAAAGCCTATCACAGTCTTGGGGAATTCTACTCAGACTAATCTTTTAATCTTTCACTGTGATTCAATAGTATTTGACTTTGTTTATAGTGATGATTGTTTTTGAAAATTTTGCTACCATCTCACGCTGACTGGTCGGTTCTGTGTTGGTTGATAATGTTCTTTCATTTATGTATTGCAAACTGTTTGGGTGTCGTTGGTTGTATATAGAATTTTCACTGCTATTTCATTGCTTGTCTTTCTAGTTTTTTGTTTCCCAACACTGACATCTTAATTTTAACTTGGTACCTATACATTTTAGGATATAGGAAATTAATTTTAGACTTTTGTTTTGACTTTGTCTATGGAATTTGCATAATTTTTTAGACAATAAAACTTTTTTTGATTTGATTTACCTTGCGATCTGATGTTTGGAATACTTAAGAACAACGAAAAGAAATTCAAGATTATGCCGACGAAGTAAGGGCACAACTTCTGGGAATACACGATTTAGCTCGGCAGCATATTCAGCTGACCAGTGACCGGCGAATAAAGACCAGATACGACTTGAAAGCCAATTCAGCCGGATTTCAAGCAGGTGATTTAGTGTGACTGTAATCCAGCAAGAAAAAAAGGAGTGTCGCCGAACGAAATTGTCTTCAGCATAGTAAGGACCCTACATAATAATCAAGAGGATCAATGATTTGGTTTATCGAGTCCAACGCAACACCAGGAGTAAGATGAAAGTTGTACATCTAGACTTTAGACAGATTGACGAAATATCATGGTCGTGAAGTTGATCAGGACGATCAATCTTAAGAGGAGGGCAGTGTAACGGAATTTACGTGCGCCTCCGCCAGAAGATACAGAATTCTAGATTTTTACAGTGCTCTTTGGTTGGGAAAAAGGTTTATTGCGTTTGTTCTGGATTTTGCGGGAATAGATTGCGGATTTACAAAGGCCAGTATTAGTTGGTAGTTTTTCAGCTTAAGATTAACTGTGATACGATTTAGATAATGAATTTTGTAAGAGTTGTAAAGAGTTAACTTGTTTGAGTTAATTAGTATCAGAGTGTATTATAGTAACGCGGAATAAGTTATTGTTGTGTTAATTGGACTTTGATTTTTGGAATAAACAGACCCAAGATTTTTGTCACGCACCCCATGAGCTGTGACAATATGTAGATAAGTTGGTTGGTTCCAGTTAAAAAAAAAAACGGCACAATAAAAAAAGGTATTTTATTTTATAATTTTTGTGTGGAAACAAAGGCTTTCAGACTTCCGTAAAAAAAAATCACTTCAAGTACAATCACAAAAATAGACTTATGTATAGTCTTCCATAAATTTCTGCAACAAACTATTATTAAACGGTACAATCAAATATTCAGTTCCGTCCTCAACAGACCTTTTAGTTCTTACCATTTTGTGATCAATAAATTCAGTCAGTTGCGCTCTCAAAGCCAAATCGGAGCTGACAATAAACGATTCCCTGCAATTCATATACAAATCCTTGAAAGCCATCCCTTGATAAAACTGTCCAGAATTTTCAATTTGATATTTGGCCAGTTTTATATAAATGGCCTTAGAATTTTGAGTGAGTGATGCAAAAATGTTTTTCAAACTTGATAAGGCCAATGAACTATTCTGTTGGGTCATTGAAGACATTTCGCATTCAGTTTCGTGATGGTACGTGCTAAAATTGGTGACGTCCCACCAAGTGAAATTAAATTTGCTTAGTTTATGGTTGTCCCATATTAATGGGGCATTTATGTGGTCTATTGTGGCGATTAAATGAATATTTGGTACAGTGGCTAATGTTGCTAAAATGCTTTGGGCTTTGGCACTTTTTAAAGCTTCAATATTGTTTATTAACAAATAAAAGGTTGTATCGATATTATTCTTAATTTCTTGTATGATTAACTCTAAACTTTGATTAACATTTGAAGGGTTTTCGTCTAATTCTAGTAAATCTTGCACAAAACTATCCAAAATGTTTTTTATAGTTAGAGTAGGAAAAAAGCCGTTTATCACTATAACAGGCATATCTATGAGGTAACTTGCTTGAAATTCACTTAAAATATGTTTTTTAGACCCGAGACCATAAAGCAAAATTGAAAAATTTTGTCTCAATACATAAAGCCACTTTTTAAAAACATTTTTATTACAGTGGTCCAATTGTTCAACTGCCTTGGCATGTTCCCTAGAAAACTTCTTTTTGAGCAATAATTTTTGAAGTTCATACTGTGGTAATCTTGGTGTTTGCAGTTTATCCAATGTGTTATTTGATGTTTTGATTTTACTCGAACCCAAATTAGCAAAATATTCTTCACTTTGTATAAGATATTTGCTATTAGGTTTTATTTTTCTGCCTTTACTGGATACTTTACTTGTTGCAGCAATATCCAAGTTCAGCTTTTTTATTGACTTTTTAGGTTTTTCTTCTTCAGATTCCTCCTCGCTGGGGCTGGATGTAGAATCACTGTCTGAACTTTCTTCTTCCGAAGACACTTCAAATTCACTGCCACTGCTTCCATCTTTGAAAACAGCCTTTAATCGTTGCTTAATTGTCGACCGGACTACGTGAGGTGTTTTGCTAATGATTGCTTCCTGGACTTTCATTGCCAAACCGTCTTTTTGTTTGCGTGTCTGGAAAGCGAATATTTCCTGGCCTTTGACTGTTTCGTCTTCGTGCAGGAGCTTCGGTTTGTCTGCGATTTCTCGATCTTCGTCGCTGCTAAAGTGGAACTCTTCGTCGCTGCTACTGCTGACCGAAGCCACAAATCCTGCTGTTTTCAATTTGGTAGCGTACTGAGATTCCACCGCTTTTAAACTCAGTTTCTTCGGACGGGATGTACGTCTCAAAGACGATGCATTTTGATTATTTGTAGCCATAACTTTCGAATGTTTATGTTTGTTTAATCTAGAGGCAGCTTTTGGAGTACATTGAAAATGTAAACAAACAAAAGATCAAAAAAGTTGCCGCCAAAAGTTTTAGTCAACTATCAATGTCAAACAACTTTGTTCGCCGATCACAACCAAACCGATTCTGAACCTAGTTGGAACGAAGGACCCGATTGAAAAGAAATATCAGCTCCGTGCTGGTTCCGGTCAAGAGCTTCATAACAAACATCGGTTCCATCACGGTTCCGGTTCTAGAAATATTTCGATTCGGTTCGGTACAATGGCCTACGTTCACCAGAACCAAAACGGATTGTAAACAGTTTACAAATACCAACAGAATATGTTGGGTAAACTCTTGATTCTGCTGAACGATTCAACTTCTCAATGATAGAACGTCACCTTCTGAATGACAGGTCACCACACAAAACACAGTGTTAAAAATTATAAACACTCTGAAATTAAGCTTGCAAAAATGGCGACGGGCACTTTTGTGGCACTTTCCAAATTTCACCGATAAATTGACCGGTTAAATAAACCGGTAGCTGTCAAAAAATTCCGGTAAAAGTCAGATGCAAGTCCGGTTACAAGATTTTTCTGGTGCATTTTGGAACGCTTTGGTGTTAAAGTTTGGTGGTGTTGCTTATTATTTTTTGGAATGGGTTTTTTTGTGGGATGCAGTGAGGTTGGTATGTATTTTTATTATTTTTAACAGTCAACAAACGGTAGTTTTCAGTACGATTTTTGTAGATTATGTGAGCTGAGTCGAGTGCATAATTACGCCCACGCACAAACATTTTTTATTCTGCAATCTGCAAGCAGCAATTTAACGATAGACTGCCAATAGTACCCATTCAAAGCAATTAAATTAATGTACGTCAAAAAAAAGTGTCAAGAAACCTCCAACCGAAAAAACCGACACAAATTCCCGGTGGATTCGGTGCCTCACCGGTTTCAAACAGCTGATCATTCCGGTCAATTTTGGAACGAACGATCGGGTTCAACCGGTAAAAAGTCGGTACATTTTGGAACGGTTTGGTGAGTAAACTATTAAACCGGTATCGCACCGGTTCAGAAACCGGTGAATTTTGGAAAGTGCCCGACCGTTTGCAAAACATGTATGGTTTTAACACAAATTTAACGTAGCGTTCAGCAGAACAATCGCAAACCGTTTACCAACGTTTGTATCTTGTGAACGCGGCCAATGGCTTTTTTTTGGTTTCACTTAGGGCGGGTATTATGGGTGAGTTCGGCTTGCTCACTCCGTGCACTCGGAGTGACTCCATTCGCACTCCAGCCGTTCGGGTTAAGGTTCGGGTATTGCTTTTACAGTATCAGGGGTGACTCCATTAGCTCTGTTCACTCCACTCCAACTCCGCGCTGAATAGCCGAACTCACCGTATAAAACTACTTTGAGAGTTGACTTAAAGTTACATGTAATTCAAAAAGTTAACTTCAAGTTAACTGTCAAAGCAGTTTTATAATACCCGCCCTTAGAACTACTTCGGAATAATGAACTTATTAGGCCGCGTTCACCAGATACAAACTTTGATAAACGCTTTGCAATTGTTCTGCTGAACACTAGGTTGAATTTGTGCAAAAAATGTTCCGCAAACGGTCGCTATTTTTACAAGCATAATTGCCATAATTCAAGAATGTTTTACTACAACTTGCGGAACGGTATGAGCATGGATATCGTTCCGTCATACGCGGTCATAAGCCGAACGCAAATCAATACAAACGAGAACACTGATGGGGCCTTCAATAAAACTCTTTTTAGTGGACTGTAAACTCGTTAATTTATTATTTTATAAGGATTGAACTAAAGTACAACTTTGTCTAGCCGCCATGCTGAAGGAAGAGAGCGAGGCGTCTCGTGCAACGTGCAACGTTGCCATCTCAAAAACGAATACATATTTTTAGGTACGCCTTGACATACCGGCCGCCTTGAAAGGACATGGCATGTGAACTTTCAAAAAAAATCAATAACAAATATTATTAAAGCTAGATGGCTAAAATAACAAATAACACCTAACCCTACAAAATTAAACATAACATTTTGTTTGCAAAATATAAAAAATATTGCATAGTTATTTCACCCATAAAGCACAGTATTTTCTAGTTAATACATAATTCTATATAAATAAATACAATTAATTTCAGTTACAACGTTTAAGAAAATGGTTGAACAAACCACAAAAAAAATAATAAGTACATGTAAAATCATTAAATAATTCAAAAATTTTTTAATCAAAAGAAGCAACTAAAAAATTCTTAATCCTAAAAACACAAGAAAAAATAACGCAAAACAATCGCAAGCGAATATCCCAGTTATGAAAAAGAAAAAAAGTAATTTTGTTTATTATATTAATCTGTGTCGATAGGAAGGACACATACGCGATTAATTGCTCTCTTTATTGTTCCGGATCGCACTTTTATGGTAATCACTCTGATAATACCATCACTACCTCGATGCAGTTCTATGACACGTCCCAATTGCCATTGTAGGACTGGTGCATTGTCATCTTTGATAAGGACCAAAGATCCAATCTTCGTTATGTCTTCACATCGCCTTCGCCACCTTGTCCGGATTTGAAGTTCTCCTAAATACTCTCTCTGCCACCTTTGCCAATAATGCTGCACCATTACCTGAATATGTTGCCACCTGGACAGTCGATTTTGAGCAATATCTGTCAAATTGTGTTCAGGAATTGAGGTGATCGTCCGTCCAATTAAAAAGTGGGCTGGAGTTAGCGCCGAATAGTCTTCTGGATCTTGGGTTAAGGGGCATAGAGGGCGAGAATTCAAAATACCTTCAATCTGAATCAAAAAAGTTCCGAATTCTTCAAATGTCAAAGGCGTGTTACCGATAACTCTTTTAATATGAGACTTGGTACTCTTTATTCCTGCCTCCCAAAGTCCGCCGAAAGTGGGAGAATTTGCAGGAATAAAGTGCCAAAATATGTTCTCGTCGGCTAATTTAGTTCCGATATACGCGGAATTTTCTTTTAAAAACTGATAAACCTTGTTTATTTCCCTATTAGCACCCACATAATTGGTACCATTATCAGAGTATATATTTTTAGGTTTGCCACGTCGAAAGGTAAATCTATTTAAACTGGCTAAGAAACATTCACTGGTCAAGTCCGAAACAAGTTCGAGGTGCACTGCTTTAGTGCTCATGCAAATAAATAAACAAATGTAACACTTGTTACTTGTAGCACCTCGGCCTTTTTTATTCTTAATATAAAATGGTCCCCCATAGTCCGTGCCAACATTTTCGAAAATTCCAAAGGTATTTACCCGTACTTCTGGCAAATCACCCATGAGATAATTAGTGCTCTTTGGTTTAGCCTTAAAACAATTTAAACATTTGTTTACGATATTTCTACACATACTACGACCAGACACTGGCCAGTACCTTTGACGAATTGAATATAAAAGAGCCTGAGCTCCGCAATGTAGAAGCCGTTTGTGTTCATTTTCTAAAATGTATTTTGTTAAATAATGACTGTGAGGTAAGATAATTGGGTACTTTACTTCATCTAGTTGATTCGCATTTTTCAACCTGCCACCTACACAAATCAGATCATTCCTTAAAACTGGATTTAAACTTAATATTTTACTTTTCGCAGGGATAGATTTTCCTATTGATAAATTATTGAATTCAACGGAAAATATCTCCCTTTGAGACTCTCTAATTAAAAATTTTAAAGATCGATCTATTTCTTCAGGTAATAAAGGCGCAGATGTATTATCGTGTCTATCTTTATTTTTTATATACTGTAAAAAACGAAAAGCATATGACAGTACATGCAACATTTCTATTAGATTGGAACAACTGGATAATTTGTAAAATAAATTTGTGTTAGTAGGACAATTCGTTACACAAGATACTGTTTTTTGTTCCGGAATTTCTTCGTTTACCGGGCATTCCAAAGTGTTCCAATGACAGTTGTCTGTTAAAAGATAATTTGGACCATGCCACCATAAATTATTGTCTATAAGTACTTGAGGATCAACGCCACGAGATACTAAATCAGCTGGATTTTCTCCAGACATCACATAATTCCAATCTTTTTTATTAGTAAGTGATTGAATATCGCTGACCCTATTGGCGACGAAGGTTTTCCAAGATGATGCTTCACCTCGAATCCAACACAAAGTAATAGTTGAATCTGACCAATAATAACATTTACTAAATTTGATATGTAAACTATTCAAAACTTTATTTGTTAAATTAGCTAAAAGTTGCGCTGCGCAAAGCTCCAGTCTGGGAAGACTCACTTGCTTCAGTGGTGCTACTCGGCTTTTAGCACATAAAAGATTACTTATATACTCTCCAGACTGTAACTGGCAACGCAAATATATACAAGCACCATAGGCTTTTATAGATGCATCACTATATCCATGCAATTCAATGTTAATATGATTAGAATCAATGATATATCGATTTATTTTAAAATGATTTATTAATAAAATATTTTTTCGAAATTCCTTCCAAAGCTTACTAATCCTTTCCGGTAATTCTTCATCCCAGTCCAGTTTGTATTTCCAGATATCTTGGATAATTAATTTAGCAATAATTATCACAGGTCCCAATATTCCCAACGGATCGAATATTTGGGCCACAGCTGACAATATCGACCTCTTTGTAATTTTTTCTATTTTATTGACTTCCAAATTAATCTTATAATTTAACGAATCACTCTGGGCATCCCAGAATATACCTAAGGTTTTGTTAGGTTCATTCTGGCCAATACTCAAAGTAGCTACCTCTAAATCGTTATTTATTTCGAATTTGTTCAATATATCCTTGTTATTACATAACCATTTACGGAGTTCAAAACCAGATTTATTTAAAGTATCTGAAATGGTTTTTTGGATGTACAAAAGATCGTCTTGTGTATCCGCACCTGTTAGCAAATCGTCCATGTAAAAATCTTGCTTTATTATTTTACTGATCAACGAATTATCTTTGTTTTCTTCCGCTATGTCAAATAAGCATTTCACGGCCAAATAGGGTGCCGAAGCTGTTCCATATGTTACTGTATGTAATTTATAGCATTTTAACTCGTGATCGGACTCAGGACGCCAAAATATTTTTTGGTATTTTCGATCATCTTCATGAACAAGAACTTGTCGGTACATCTTACTTATATCTCCTGTCATGACGTATTTATGAATACGAAATCTGCTTAAAATCTCAAAAATATCCTGTTGCAGAGTAGGACCTGTAAACTGTACATCATTTAATGACAATGCGC